TCCACCCCCCCCCCCCCCCCCCCCCCCCCAAGGGAAAAAAAAAAAAAAAAAACCACAAATTGGCCTGGGGGGGGGGGGGAGACCAGCAAAAAAAGGGGGGGGGGGGGTTTTTTGTTTTGGAAAAAAAATCCCGTCTCCTTCCCCTCCCCAGTCCCCGGGTTATTAATCACCCGGTCCCCGTTTTTCCCGGGGCCCCCTTTGGGGCCTTTTTAACCCCCCTGGTTGGCCCTGGTCCGGGGGGGGCGGGAAAAAAGTTTTTCCCAACCCAAGTTACCGGGGGGGGGGGGGGGGGGCAGGTCAGGATCGGATGACCGTCGTGATTAGTGTTTAGACGTCGGGGTGACGACCATTACTTAGTTCAGACAAGATACCATGTACGTCGCGGCCATCGACTCGGAGGGACTCGTCAACCACAATCCGAAACACCCATCTATACAACCTGCTCTCTTACGACCACAAGGACACCGTAAGGGTGCAGCAGCAACAGCATCCCGGGTGACGTCACCACCACCAACGTCAAACAGCGACCACAATTTCGTCCATCCTGCGACTTCCACTCAACCGGCAACAAAGAAGGTAACATCCAATCCGATGCCTGGCAACGAAGCAACAGCATCAGCAACGACAACACCGACGGCTCACCTTTAGACTGGCCTGGTGGAACATGTGCATCTCGTACGTCTTCTTGGAGAGGAGCCGGTACACCATCACCGCCTTCGTCTGGCCGATACGGTGGGCGCGCGCTTGGGCCTGGTGCCACGAGAGAACAAAAAATACAACGCACGATCGTTTAAAAAAATATGTGTAGACTTCTATCTATTCCTTCTTGCTTTGGGTAACAGTTCGACACCCAGGCCGTTGTTTTCTGTGCTTTCAACAGAGTGGGGAAGGCCTGGCACCTGGAATACAACCAAGAGTATCACACCTACCGTGAACACAACGACAACAACGACAACAACGACAACAGTAACAGCAGTATACAACAAACGTTTCACAACCGGAGGTACAACCAAGTTACCGCGCGGCCAAACTGAACACATGCCTGAGACAGCGTGAGCTGGGGCTCTTCACACCGTGATGACACAACGCCGTACAGCCAGCCAGGCATCAATCAAAACCTGCGCTAAAACACACTAGTCTGACAAACAAAAAACAGGGGGGGGGGATTCGTTCGCTATCAAACGCCACCCGACGAAAAACACTGTCTCAGTACACAACCCATCCAACCAACCAACGGATCGCTCCGTCCCATCCCATCCCATCCCGCCCCGCCCCGCCCCATCCCGTCCCACCTGCAGGTCGTTGTGCGGGTTCCAGTCCGAGTCGTAGATGATCACCGTGTCCGCCGTGGTGAGGTTGAGGCCCAGGCCGCCTGCCCTCGTCGACAACAGCATGACGAACCTCTTGAACTGCGGTCGGTTGAACCTTTCCACCGCCGCCGTCCTCATGTTGGCCCTCGTGTTGCCGTCCAGCCGCTCGTACTTGTACCCGGGCCCTTCCCCGTCCACGCCACCTTTCAGGAAGTCCTGGTGAGAATTTAAGCGCGCGCGAGGGGGGGGGGGTGAGGTGGGTGTACTTGGGCGGGTCTACGTACTGTAGATGGGACAAGAAAGGGTAGGGTTGGGGGTGGCATGTGGTTGGCCCGTGCTGTTTGCTTGTGATTGTGATGATGCATTCGATCATCAAACAACGATAGTTACGATTCCGTTGAACCTCCATGTTGTCCTCGAATTGGCGAGGCGGGGCGAGGAGAGGTAGGTGGGATTGTAAAAGGAGACAAACCCCTACGTCAACATCAAACTAGACTGGTCTCTCGAGAGCACCGAAAGGCCTCTCCACTGCCTGCGCCTCTTCCAGAGAGCCCAAAAGGACAACCAGTTCCGTTTCTTGCACTACTGTATTCATCTTCCCGATCTCCACACAAAATAACCGCGCAGATCTTCTCGCGGTCTTTCGGCCTTGACAAATATTGCATCCAACCGCGGTCTTCATCTTGGCCCACCTCTTCCTGCAGTTGCGTGCAACGA